CTAGGGCACAAATGAAGTTTTCCACTATATTTACATTTAATAGAAGGACATTAAATGACTCATCAACCACCTCAGCAACTCCTTGCCACCTAAGCAATTTTAACCGACTAAATGAAGGTCGTTGGTAAAATAAGACCAAAATGTTCAATTTATCCGATTTACTGGGTTTTTTTATTCAAAAGAGAAAATGTGAGAGAAAAAAGTATAACTTTTCCTAAAAATTTATGATTTTTTTTGAAGATTTCCTTATTAATATTCTTATTAATACGTAAATAGTTAAACTTTCGTGGCCAAACCATAAAAAATAAAATGTCCATTACGTGCTAAATTAGTAAATTACTCCACAAGAAATCGTTCCTCTTCTTGCTTCTTGTTAATATGTAAATACTAAAAGTTTCGTGGCCAAACCGTGAAAAATAAAATGTCTGTTACCTGCTAAATTACTCCACAAGAAATCGTTCCTCTTCTTGCCTCTCCCCACCGTCTTCGCTGGTTCCATTTTCGGCAGTCACCTCTTTCGTCCGTCACTGCCCCAACCACCGCCTCAGCCGCCGACACCAGTATCGCCACTGCCACCGCAACAATGGAATCGCCTATGCTCGTTGAATGTAAAACACCACCGAGTCGCCCCAATGCCTCCACCACCATGGACTCGCCTCTCTTCGACAACGAAGACGACCTCTACACTCGCCTAAAGTCATTAGAGCGTCAAATCGAGTTTATTGAAATCCAAGAAGAGTACGTCAAAGACGAACAAAAGAATCTCAAGCGCGAACTCCTTAGGTCTCAAGAAGAAGTGAAGCGGATCCAATCGGTTCCGCTTGTGATTGGTCAGTTCATGGAGATGATCGATCAAAATAACGGTATCGTAGGGTCAACTACTGGATCTAATTACTATGTTAGGATTCTTAGTACGATTAATCGCGAGCAATTGAAACCCTCGGCGTCCGTTGCTTTGCACCGTCATTCAAATGCGCTTGTTGACGTGTTGCCGCCTGAGGCTGACTCTAGTATATCTCTGCTTAGCCAGTCGGAGAAACCTGACGTCACCTATAGTGTGAGTATTTTGTCATAGAAGTCTTGATTTTTTACGTGTGCTAATAGGGTTTTGATGAATTAATTATGCCAAGACTTTCAGCATCTTAAAATCCAAAATTCATTTGTATTAATTATGTTTAGGATATTGATGTCATAACTCATAACTTGGATGCTAATGTGATAGTAGATAGAATATTATAGTTATAATTGACTAATTGAATATGCTCAAAGTGATGATCGTTAGTTTATCCTTTAATGATTGGCAAGTCATTGATTATTAGATCTTATAATTGGGTGGGTGTAGTTTTCTTTACAGGAAGGATGCAATGTTAGAGTTAGTTAGCTTATGAGCAAATTTCTTTCTGCAGGTTTACTAATGTATCCTATCATATAATATTTCTCATCTGTAGAGTTTGTCTCTACTGTTATTACGTTGTGGACCCTTTCTTTTATAGAGCTGTAAATCATGATATTTGTTTTGCATTTGTGCTATTGTTATATCAACTCTTGTAACAAAGGGATTGTCTTTCTTTCACCATATGCTATATGCATTACGGAGATCAGTTTGTTCTATAATTTGATTTTTACTGTGGTTGTGTATTTTGGTAGGATATTGGAGGTTGTGACATTCAAAAGCAGGAAATACGTGAGGCTGTGGAGTTGCCTTTGACTCATCATGAATTGTACAAGCAAATAGGCATAGATCCTCCACGTGGTGTTTTGCTATATGGTCCACCTGGCACTGGTAAAACTATGCTTGCCAAAGCTGTTGCAAATCATACCACAGCAGCCTTTATTCGAGTAGTTGGTTCAGAATTTGTTCAAAAGTATTTGGGTGAGGTATGCTTTTAGTCTGCCTCTTCTTTATAAGAGACATGTTGTTTCCTTTTGACTTAATGAGGACTTGACCTAATCCTGGTAAGCTAGTTACCTGTGTTTCTTTTTGTTTTAATGAAGAAAAGAAATGAAAGGGCTATATATGGGTGTTTCTTTTTTTGTCACAAGTAAAATACCTAATAGGAATAATTCAAGGACTCAAGAAATAGCAACACACTTTCTTTTGTTTGTGTATTATAGCATCTTACTTCTGTTTCTTTCTATTACAACATTGTACTCTCACCTTTCTTTTTAGGCACCGTACTTTGAAAATCTATCCAATTATAACATTGTATTTCCAGTCTTTTTTTTTTATTTTGAAAAATCTATCAACTTATGTTGCAATTTGTATACAAACTAAAACCAATTATAGCGAACAATATCTTTCATTACATCATAGTTTAATACCACAAAATTTTGTAAACTAAAATTCTTAAAGTTCTATCTCCATAATTTATAACACAATGAAGAATATGTTGATAGTTGATTAGATTAGTATATAATTCATGTTGTTCTATGATGTAGCATAAACATTTAAATCAAATTTATTGAAAGAATAAAAACTAATGCATTGTTTTTTTTAAACATCCACCATGCACAATTTTTGTTTTTTGAAATCTCATAACTACTTATAAGTAGGCCAACCTTAGGATTCATATAAGTAAACATCCTGTATGTTGCATATTTAAATGCCCATACTTGACATGTATAAAACTTTCATATATTATGTATGACGTGCAAAATGCATGCTAATATCATATTATGCCAATGCCATAACATATGTCTTTGCTATTTGATTGTATCGTGATTTTGTGCAAAGAAGCATATGACAATTTGTTTATGATAAATTTATCTTCATGCATATAACATTTATAACATATTACATACTCAGCTTGGTGTAGAACTCCTAAGCTTCTTCTTAATCCTGTTGATTTGCTAGTCATCTTTTGAGGGTGTTTAATTTGACTGTGGAATGGAGAATAAAACTACTAAAATTCACTTGGTATTTATAGGTAGTTTGTTTGCATTGCTTTCCTTGTTTCTTATGGGATGTGAGTGACTATGACACCTGGTGCTTCTAGTTTAGCTTATCCTTTAAGAATCAATGCTTGTAGCCTTACTTTGTCATTTTCTATCATTCATTCACCAATACTAAGTACCAACTGATATTAAGGCTTGATTTGTTTGATATATTATATATGCTATGATTGTGTAAGAGCTATATTAATTAATTAATTAATTATGGTGGTTGGTGTTGTAGGGTCCGCGAATGGTTCGTGATGTGTTTCGGCTAGCGAAAGAGAATGCCCCTGCAATCATATTTATCGATGAGGTGGACGCAATTGCTACTGCCAGATTTGATGCTCAGACTGGAGCTGACAGAGAAGTGCAGCGAATTCTCATGGAGCTCCTAAATCAGGTAACCCCTATGACTACGAGTGTTTTCTTTGGACATAAAATATAATATTAAAGGCCAGGGAAGGGAAAGATGATTAATGATTAATGATTTATGAGTGACTGCAGATGGATGGGTTTGACCAAACGGTGAATGTGAAGGTTATTATGGCAACTAACCGAGCCGATACATTGGACCCTGCACTTCTTCGTCCTGGTAGGCTTGACCGCAAGATTGAGTTTCCTTTGCCTGACAGGCGACAAAAACGCCTCGTTTTTCAGGTCTAACCCCACCCTGCCTTTTTTTTTTTTTTTTTTTTTCTTCTTAATTTATCATATTATTTGTCTGTTTACTTGAGATAATAAAAAATGTAATAAATGTGTAGGTTTGCACGGCTAAAATGAACTTGAGTGATGAAGTTGACTTGGAAGATTATGTTTCTCGCCCTGACAAGATTAGTGCTGCTGAGGTAACACTACTAGTAATAAGCAATAAGTTGTTGTTCTTTAATTGCCCTTCTCATCCTCATCCTGGTTTTGTACAGATTACGGCTATTTGTCAAGAAGCAGGGATGCATGCAGTCCGCAAGAACAGATATGTTATTCTTCCCAAGGACTTCGAGAAGGGTTACAGAACCAATGTAAAGAAGCCTGACACTGACTTTGATTTCTACAAGTAATCCCATACTTTCTGTCCCTGTCGCTTTACCTTTGCTGCTGCTTATTCATGCATGTTCAATGAATCTCTAATTTGGCTTCAATTCAATGTTCTTATTGTTGGTGTTACCTAATTAGATTATATTTTGCTTTCATGAAAATCTGTTATGAGTTCAAGTGGCTGAATGGGTAATGAGTTGTTATATACATATAAAGCTTTGTTTTTATTTTTTTATTTTTTCTACACAAAAATGAACATTTTACCTTAAATTGCAACACAACAAATTTCACAATATTCATCTGAGAAGAAAAAGAAGAAAGACAAATAGCTCAAGGGTTATATTGTCTATAAATTAGCCATAATTTTCGGCTTAACCTAATAACTCATTTTGTTCGTATTTAATTAAAAAATATCAATGTATAATTGTCTTGTCTAGATTAAGTGTTTAACCCGTTAAATTGAAAAGAAACAATCCCTTAGATATCAAACTTCATTCTTTTGGGTTTTTGAATATAATGGGGTGGTTAACAAACACAGATCAAGTATAAATATTTGCAATTTCAACCCATTTATTTATGAAAGAATTGATTTGGTTTATGTTTCTATTAAACATATCAAATGTTTTAAATAATAGTTAAAAAAAAGTAGCTAAAAAGGAAAGCACATCAAGCAAGTCGAAAATAGTAATGGTACAAATTCCTAAGTGTACTCTTTCTACATATTTTCTTATTTATTTATTTATTTATTTATTTATTTATTTATTTTGATGATCTCATTACAATTTACACCATAAAAAAAGGCCGAGTAACAATCTTATAAAAGATGTCCGTAACTTTCGGTTTGTTAAAATCAAACAACTGAATATTCTTGAAAATCCAAATATGACACCCTCAAAATAATTCTTCACTATTTCGACGTGTAGTAGAGAATCATGTCAACCAATCAACAAATGAAAGGAGAGTGCGTATAATCAAGCTACCGCCTCACCACTTGAACTAAAACCACAAAAGCCATTGGACAATAGAAAAAACAAATGCCTAGTCGTTTCTGTCCTCCCATTACAAAGAGGGCACTCAATGTCCATACCACGACTATCAAGATTGGCTTTGGCTCCAGACACCAAACAAAAATATTGACATTGATATGGATTAGCCGGATCCATCCAGCAGGAGAACAAGTCAAAAGTAACCACTTTTCATCGGTATAGGCACGCACATAAGATACTAGAAAAAATTCACCAATCCAAGATACAAACCAAAACCACGGGGTAACCGGCACCACAAGAGCCTGTAGAGCATCCCATCGTTACCATTAATTACTTCTATATTTTAAAATAAAGATTTGGACAAAAGTTCCTGGTCAATTCGAATTAACCCAACTTAATAAAATTATTGTTTTTGAAGTTTGTATTTGATTTTTTTTTTTCTTCTACTGGAGGTGTAGCTAGTAACTTAAAAACTGTGGGTAAGTTGCACTTGGTGAAAGTGAAAATGATCAACTTTTCAAAGAGACATGTCTTATTTTTTTTATTTTTTATTTTTTATTTTTTCCTACAGTTCCTTGAAAATAATTCTTTATCTGAATAAGATGCACATACGATGCTAAAAAAAGTATTGTATTAATTGGTCTACTGAAACACAACCATGTCAGATTTAGTTGCCGCTTCCAAATTTAGCAAAGTGAAGGGAAGGCCACAATTAATTCCCACATTGTTCTAATAGCTAATTTCTTATTTTTGCTAGCAAGTTGTAAATGTTTATTAAATTATGTAAAATGAAATGGGTTTCATATAACTTATGGTTTGAGTCGTTATCAAAATTTTACCGGTTTATACAACATATTTGATTTTTCCCAGCTTATGCATATGCATGCATAGATGAAATTCTGGTAACAAATTAAGATATTGTTGCTTAAAGTAACAAAAAAATCTAATTTTGTTGTATGATTTGATAAAAATATTTACACTCTGCATGAGGTTAAAACTGGGATAATCCAAGAAACCACTCTCGATATTCAGGCAAAAATCGAAGAGACAAACATAGGGTACTTGTTCTATGTTTTTCGAGATTTTTTTTTTAATGCAAAAAGAACATAAGGGAAAAATTCATCTTCTGCAAAATCGAAAGCCTTAACTGAGGTTGGTTTGGCAGTAAAATTCACAAATGGAGATCCCCGGTAAACTATGGATACACCAGGCCCTCGTGTCCTTGAGATCAAATCAACTTATGCGAATCACACTAAACTGCTCGATGAAACTAAAATAAAAAACATTAACCTGTTTGTTTGAGAATCCATAATTCATATTCAAGTATGTGTATCATTTTATTCGCCCACTAGTGTTTAGCAATTAGCGAGTGTTAATACTTAATACAAAAGTCAAAAGTCACATCAAAGGCTTCTTCGCATAATAGCACTAGCACTCAACTTGTGAACCACCTGCAAGTCCTCCGACACCTAACTGAGTTTGAAAAATGTACTTGTACTTGTTGAATCAGAAATTAAATCACAAAATCCGTGATACTGAAGGAGAAATTAATACAGTTGTCCATTGAATTTAATGCCAACTACTTCTTCTGTACCCACCTCCTCCCCAGTCTCAACTCTCAATGGATTACAGATAAGTAGATAGCACAAGTTCTGACAGTTTTCGCCATTGGCATGGGGCTCCAGTGTAAGTTCTCATTCATCTGATCTGACACCATTCCACAAAATCTCAACATTTAATCGTTAATCATGATTTGTGATCGTGTTTACTCTTACCTTTTACCAAAGAGATGGTGAATTTGTTTATTGTTTCGAGTTTAGTTGAGCATGTTCTTATTGGTTTGCCTTGCACACCAATTGTTTGACGAAATGTCATGTTGCTATGAGAATTAACATAAATATCAATTTCTTAAATATTTATTGTTATGAAAACACATGTTTTGAGATCTCAATTTTCTAAAAATATTTTGTTTAGCTGCAAGAAAATTTGAGTTCCTCAATATAACAACTATAACATTGATAAGTGTTTTGTAATAATCAAATCACTTTGTTTTATGGAATCATGCACGTTACTAAAACAAATCATTGAAAATAATTATATTACATTATATTGATGACATGCACAGTTTAGAATTTACATTCAATCGTTTGGATGGCATAACAATAATTTGAAATTTATGTATACAGGTCCGGAGGAGCCTACTTTAAATGGAAATACCCTATAAAAAGATGTGATCCCAAAAAGCTCTTTAAAAAATGAAAAAAGTATTTGATGTTTTTTTTTTTTTTTTTTTCAATCTAAAGTTTTTTCAAAGATATTGTTAATTAACAAGGTATTTTCTTGAGCTTTTCAATAATATGGTGGATCCAATAGATTTTCAATCAATTTCCACTAGGTAAATATACACACAAAAAAAAAAAAACGTAAATAATCTAATTGAAAAAGTTTTTCTATTGTTGGGATACATTGAATTTTTTTTTTTATCCTAAGTTTTTTCATAAAAAAACTATAAAGAAAAACTCTCCTCCTATAGATGTTCTAAAATTGATTTTATATTACAGACCATTAAGAAAACCTCCATTAAGATGTTCAAAGATAGTTTATATTTTTATGAAAAAAAAATATTCAGTTTGCTCAACAATTAAGTCCAAATCAACTTAGTAGTATAATTTTTTTATTTGAATAAAAATTGATATTTTGAGTTTCGTTCATTTATTCGTAAAAATCATGATGATCAACCACGTCAAATTCTTTAAAAGGAATCTGACAGTGATATTTGTCTACAATCGATGATGATGTTCAAGATTCAATCTGATGTGATGAGTTGACTTAATATTATCCATTTATTTAGCACAAAACTCACTAATAAGAATATGATTGAAAATTGCACACAATTGCACGTCCAATAAAAAATTAAATTTAGGGGTGATATTTCGCAAAATAAAATACATGGCTATACTAAACAATTATTAATATTGTTATTTTTTAACTCAACATAATTTCCTCTTAAGCAAATCAAACTAATAGAATTTTTTTTTTTAGTTTTGGTCTATATCACACTTCTTTTTCTGAAAGGGTGAAATGTAATTATATAAGCGAGGAATGTCCAATCTGAAAACTAAGAAAACGCAAAATGGGTTTAAGTTTAAACTTTAATGCTAGATAAAAATCATATGTGGAAAAATATTTAAACAACAAGTTGTATCTTTTGCATCAAAATCTGTACAACTATCAGAACATTACTCCTTCAAAGGCCTGGCCTTAATTATCGTTAAAAACCCCGCTCAAAAAGGGATCATACTCATTACTAGGAGCTGTCGAGTGACTCTCTCTCTCACACATACATCACATAAAAACTGTGTGTTCTTCGCTGCGCTCGAAAATTTCACTCGATTTCTTCTGAAATTCAGAATTCAAATTGAATTCCTGTTCGTCCCTACAAATTCATCTGAAAAGAGAGGAAAAAACGATAGCGGATTGGAGGCGAGAGCTTTTCAGCTGAGTGATTTCCGTTTTTCTCTCAGATTAAGATTTATTATTGTTTCATTTCTTCGTGAAGAAAATTCGGCCGGAGAATTTTGAAGAAAATTTTAATTAGTTTGAAGCTGTTGATGACGCCGCCGAAGCTACAACGGCAAATGTTGTGGTAGTGTTTGAAGGACGAAGGTGCGGGTAATGTAGTTTTTTTTCGATGGAAGTTCATTTACTTCTTGCATTTTATATGTTAGGTTGAAAGGTATTTGGCGATTTTATGAGGTGAAATATTCATTTACTGAATGCAATTTACAGTTTAGATATGTTAATTTATAGCAAGTTTGTGATTTTGTTTAACGATAAATTCATTTACTTATATGCAATATATTTTAGCTATATCAGGTAACAACTAAGCAAATTGACAGTTTAAGATATCCAAGCTGATTCGTCTTATTGCCAATTGGTTTCAAAATAGAAGTGCAAATACTTACATGATATAATCTATAGTCCTAAAAGCAATTGTTTGTGACTCAACGTTTAGTCTGGCTAATTCTGGATGTAGCGAGGCTACACAGGATATGATCCACCGGTTGAATCTGCACATCTGTCTTACTATCTGGATGCTTTTAGCTTAAAATTTGGTATTTGTTGTGTTCATTTACTGTTCTAGTTGGGACCGAGTCGAATAGAGGGGAAAGTTAGTAGCTGAAAGTTAAGCAGTCCTACGTTATAGCAATTAATCACGATGGCGTTAGTGGTTGTGTAAACTTGCACTTATAAGAGGAATATTGTTGAAGTAGTAGTTGGGGTTTTGGTTCTTGAGTATTTATGTGTCTTTCCTTGTACGGAATCACGTAAATTGTAGCTATGGTGATATAGAGAGTATGTGTTTATTGGCCACTAACAAGGTTAATTGAGTTCGCAAAGTAAGTTGAACTAGTAAAAGAATGTGACACTCATAGCATTGTATGTTTAGAGATGCTTTCTGTTGTGCGCTACCTTATTTGTTTTTGGACAATGTCATTGTTTTTCAATTTAGTTAATATATAAAGCTTGATATGCAGATCTTCTAAATTTTTTTCTGTTGTTTATTTGAACCAGGGAGATCATCCAACATAAATCATCAACCATCAAAGTCGTATATGTGAACATTTATTTCCTCATGAAACTCTGCTCTCCTCACCTGCTTCAATCCATCCTCATCATACTTTCCCTTGTATCTCCACTGTTTGCTGACTTAAACTCAGATAAACAAGCTCTTCTTGCATTTGCTGATGCAGTACCCCATGCTCCAAAGCTCAACTGGAGCAACACTACTGAGATTTGCACTTCTTGGATAGGCATCACCTGTGATTCCAATGGGACCCGTGTTTCCGCTCTTCGACTTCCTAGCCTTGGACTCACGGGCCCCATTCCTTCCAACACTCTTGGAAAACTGGAAGCTTTAGAGGTTCTCAGCCTCAGATTGAATAGCCTCACCGGAAGTATACCTTCTGATGTCCTCTCTCTTCCTTCCCTCCATCATCTCTTCCTTCAACATAACAACTTCACAGGTAACATTCCGACTTCATTTCCTTCCCTCATGAATGTATTAGACCTCTCTTTCAATTCCTTCACCGGAAAAATCCCGGAATCTCTCCAGAATTTGGCACGCCTAACCAAATTAAACCTCCAAAATAACTCCCTCTCTGGTTCTATCCCCAATATCACATTCTCAAAGCTCAAAAATCTCAACATAAGCTACAATCATCTCAACGGTTCTATTCCATCTTCCCTCAAAACTTTCCCAAATTCATCATTTATTGGGAACTCTTTCCTGTGTGGACTACCTCTGAATCCCTGTTCGCCTCCACTGCCACCTCCTCCTGCTCATACACCACCACCACCACCTACTGGGGATCATCAAGAAAAAAGCTCAAAGAAGTTTCCTTTATGGGCTATTATTGCCATAGCGGTTGGAGGAGGTGTTGCAGTTATACTTTTGATGATCATATTATATTTTTGCTGTTTCAAGAAAAAGAAAAGGAATAGGAATGAGAATGAGAATGGGAATGGGAATGTGAGCAGTGTACGAAGAGCAAAGTCTTCTTCTGTTGGTGGAAGGAGTGAGAAGCCTAGGGAAGAATTTGGTGGTGAAGTACAAGAGGCTGAAAATAACAAGATGGTTTTCTTTGAAGGCTGTTCTAGTAATTTTGATCTTGAGGATTTATTGCGTGCTTCAGCAGAGGTGCTAGGAAAGGGTAGTTTTGGAACAACATATAAAGCAACTTTAGAGGAGTCAGTAACCGTGGTTGTCAAAAGGTTGAAAGATGTGGTGGCAGGGAAGAAAGAGTTTGAACAGCAAATGGAGATGATAGGGAGAGTTGAACCACATCCGAATGTTGTCCCACTTCGTGCTTATTATTACTCCAAGGATGAAAAGCTACTTGTCTATGATTATCTCTCCAGTGGTAGCCTGTTGACACTCTTACATGGTATGCTACTTTCATCTCATGTTTCTTTTTCTTACATCAACTGCTGTTTAGATAAAATGTTGTCTATATGCTACTTAAAAACTTGAATGACATGGCAGGAAACAGAGGAGGCGGTAGAACTCCAATAGACTGGGAAACAAGAGTAAAAGTGACACTCGGAGCTGCACGAGGCCTTGCACATATCCACGCTATCGGCGGCCCAAAATTTGTTCACGGAAACATAAAATCGTCAAATGTCCTTATTACCCCTGACGGAGAAGGCTGCATCTCGGACACCGGTTTATCCCCGCTCATAAAGCAACACCCACCCACCACATCCCGCCACACCATCGGCTACAAAGCTCCTGAAGTCCTGGAAATCCGAAAACACTCCCATAAATCCGATGTCTACAGCTTCGGCGTCCTCCTCCTCGAGACACTCACCGGGAAACAACCACTCCAATCTCCGGGAAGAGTAGGAGGAGAAGACATGGTAGATCTCCCTAAGTGGGTCCAGTCTGTGGTGAGGGAAGAATGGACTGCTGAGGTGTTTGATGTTGAGCTTATGAAATTTCAAAACATCGAGGAGGAGATGGTGCAGATGTTGCAGATCGGTATGGCTTGCGTTGTGCAAACCCCGGATTCCCGACCCTCCATGGATGAAGTTGTTAAGATGATTGAAGAGGTTCGTGTATCTAATTAATTAAAGACATCACCCATTGTGATTTGTGCAGACACCTTACCTTCGTTTCTGTAAGTTTACATGCATTCTGTTTCGTCTTTTCGTTTTTAGGAGTTGAGAGCATTAGTCATTAGATTAGCTTTTCTTTCTCTTTATTTGTTGAAAGATTACATTTTTTAAGTTGATTAATCATTAATCGTCTAGTTGGATTGGGTATTACTGTTCTTTTCTTTTTATTTAGATAATTAACATATTAAATGTGATTATAAAATAGCAGTTGTTGCCTGTTGGTGCTACCTGAAATGCATTGAGGCATCACCAATATTTGACTTTTAAAAAATCTATGTACGTATAACCTATTTATTTGAATTATAATGACATCACATGACAAGTTAGTTAAATAGGGTTTAATGTTATGTCATCGTGTTCAATGGTGACATAGAAAAATATATATTTTTTTATAAAACACTTCAATTCTTAAAATTCTCTTTTACCAATGGCTTTTGTGTTGGGTCTTTTGACTGTGATTTCCAAGAATTTCATCAAAGGGCTAACCTCATGCTTGATTTTGTATAGGAATAACTAACTCATCATCTCTTGCAAAGCACTTACAAATACCAATGTCATAATTGATGAAGAAAAAGTTAACTAACTTATCATCTCTTGCAAAGCACTTACAAATACCAATGTCATAATTGATGAAGAAATTTTTTTTGGAAAATGTGCACTTCTTCATGATATAATTACAAAGGATGAAAAAGAGAGGATACAATACTTTTGAAGAAACAATATACGTAAACAAATGACAAAATAGACATAACAGAAAATATATATGAAGCTCGTGGTGGTGGTGGTGACGGAGGTAAGGGAGGTGGGGGTGATGGTGGAGGTAGGGGAAGTGGGGGTGTGGGGGCAGAAGTGGTGGCGGGCATGACGGCGACAATAACATTGTTGTGATGGCAGTGGTTGTGACAATAATGATGGAGACATTGGGGTGGAAAAAGAAATAGCACATAGGGTTAAAAGTTGGAACTTATAAAAACATCTTCCAAAAAAAAGGTTGTCTTTGAGAAAAAGAGATCGAAATGACATTTTTATGTTTTTTGTCTTTTGAAAACAAACAATTTTTTTCTCAAATGTCTTTCCGCTTGCAGACATAAGAAGTCAAAATGACTTTTTTTCCTAAAAGCAAACATCACCATAATTTGATATGTAGTACCTACCACATCGTGGAAATGCGTTTTGGATCCCATAAAAACCTGTACACAGAATAACTAAAAAAAATATAGTTTATTAAAATTACCATCAAATATGGAATGGGTTGTTTCAACCCAAGATCTAATGGATCTTATCTGTTTATGTGGTCCCTCTTATATGAAAAAAAAAAATGACGGAGGAACATGTGTTGGATCGTATCTGTTTTGTATGTTCTAATTACGAACTAGGGCTTCTATTTTGGAAACTAAAAAGAACTCAATACCAGTTTTAACAAACGAAATATCTTGCTACACAATGAGACTCATATTATGTTTTAACCTTACAAGAAATGCCCTCATTTCTTTTAAGGGGTAGATAGCTGAGAAGAATCAAGTTACAAGTGACGAGATCATTTAGAACCAACAAGATTTTGAAAGTTGAGTTGAAACAACTCCTTGTGCTTCAGATCTTCTTGTTATGATATGTTTAGGCTTATAGGTTTAAGAAATGCATTAATTTGAAATGAGATTTTGGTTTGACACGTCGGTTAGAGTGAATGAAAGGGAATAAGGACAAGGTTCTAGAAGTATATATGGGCTTGAATGGTATGGTACCTATTGGTACAAAAGTATAAGAATTATAGCGATATACATGGTAGAGTTGTCTTATGGGTAAATGTAGAAGGAGAAAATCATTAATATGAATAAATTGGCAAGATATCTTCAATGTAAAATGTCACTATTATGACTTGGAAACCAAGATCTATAGAAAAAAAAAGTATAGAAATGAGAGGTCATGAAGAGTGATTAGACTCTAAGTATAAAAACTAGAATTTTTTTTTAATTGTGATTATAGAAATAGAAATGAGACAATATGTATGTCATAGTATGTTTTGGTAGACGTCCAGGCCAAATAGATGATATTATGTTATGATTGAGACTCTAATATCAATGAATGCAAATATATCGGCTGATAAGTATTGGTAATGACTTGCTAATGGGATTAATACAGAATGAAATGTTTGTGATGTGCTTGGGAACAAAGGGACATGCTTAGGCAAATTAGATCCTAAGTAAGAAAATAGACAAATATTGACTTAAGCTTGTATAACCTTATTACATGATGTTGTTAAAAGTTCAAGAGAAAATTTCATATATACCATAAATAGAGAAGGAAATATCATATTTGCCCTATTTAATTCCTAAATATCGTATATACCCTAAATAAGCATCTATAATATCATATTTTCCCTAAATGTTTTTTTAATATTTTATAATTATTTTAAATCATTATTTTTATACATTGACTATTATACCCCTTTTATAAAACTATATTTAAAATTTAATATATACCCTTGAATTGTCAAAATATCATATTTACCCAAAATTATCATTTTATGACTTAGTATAAACAAAAGTGTTTTAATCGATTAAGATCTTATTTTATATGTTTATTATTAAAAAAAATTTATCAATTATATTTGTCATTAGAAAGATAAATAATAAAGATGAGAAATGATAACAACAAAAGTAACTATTAACCTATTAGTCTATAAGAAAAACCATTGACATATATATAGTCATGCAATCTTAAAAAATTAAAAAGTACTACATCTAAGAACAAAAAATCAAGTTTACCAAATTCAACTAATAAACAAGTTTACCAAGTTTAAAAAATTAAATACTACGGACATATTTTTCATGTGGACACTTAACCTTGTGTGTCTCAAACAAGTTTACAAAGTTCTCAAAAACAAAATAATTTTAACTAATAATAAAAACTTTTGAAAACAACTAATTATCACGGACACCGGTTCCTTTTTCTTGAGGTTGATGTTTCACTTGGATCTAAATCTTGAAGTGTGGGGTTCTTGCATGTCTTTTCACGATGTCCGTATTCCCCACATCGTGGACCTTTGTTCCTATTTAGCAATTCTTCCCTAAATACATCCATCTTCATGAAAGAATCTTCCCATTTACCATGCATATCAGTATATGCTTGCTATTTCCCTCTAAATACTTTCAGATATGGTACGTTAACATTGTAAGTTTTCATAATCCACTTTCTAAGCTCCATGGGAGAAATGTCGCCATCAGATTTCAACTTATCAGTAATTATATTTGCAATCCATCCTTGAGTGACACACTTATTAACACCCATGTTACTTCGAGTACAAGTATGTCCTTCTTCAAGTTTCTTAACCTGCAAAATAATTAAATGAACATAATAAATATATTTTAATTGGAAATCATGTTAAAAATAATTTAGGTATGTTCTTACTTCAAAGGTAATACCATCTTGCATGACAGATGCATAAATTCTCCAATTGCAATCTATGTTTTCATACCTTGCTATGAATTGTGTCAGATCACTTTTTTGAATATAGTAGTCAAACTCATTTATGATTGCGTAATGATTCAAAGCTCTCCGAAAAGCAACCACATTTTCAAAATTTGTACCAACTTTCATGCTTATAGTATTCTTACTAAAAGAGTAAGCTTCTTCATCATCATTTGTTGGATCATCTTCATTCTCAGAATTAAGGTGAGTATAATAGCTTTCTTCACTAGGACAGTAGTCTGAATCATCATGGGGTTCATTTGTGTTGTCACATAAATGGTTATGTGCACACTGATTATTTGAGTTGTGGTTATTCTCTGTTGTGATGTAAATGGTTACTTCTTTCTCTTTTTCATACATATTAAGCATAGCCATGAACTTTTCATCAGAATCAAGCTCAATAAACGATTGGCTTGATGCACACTTATCAACATAGGAAATTGACAATTTTGGATTGTTCTTTGATGAATAACGCTTTATAATTTCTTCGTTTAGTTGACTCAATTTGTATGACCATGTGTCTATGTGGATGCATTTTTGAGAGCCAAAGCAATATATTTTCTTACAAGTGTTCTTCGCTAACCGAAAGAAACCCCCATATTTTAATTTTAGCTTGTACTTGCCCATTGGTATACTTGCAGGAACGTAATCGATTATTGGAGACTCAGCCCTATTTTCCCATACTGGTTTCGAGGTGTCGTCAAGGATAATGTCAAAACTATCTTACATCTATCAATTCTCGATCATAGTAAAAAAAATCTTAAAAAATAATCAAAACATTAATATACATTAACATCTCTAAAAAAAAACTATAAGAAACTTAAACTGCTAGAATATTACTATGTTTTTAGTTGCTTTATTTTAAAATTGAGCAAATTCGGCAGCCTCATGACAATGATGGGAAAGAACTTTAAGAGTCATGAACTACTCATCCACTTCTACTCTTTCTGGAATAAAAAATGCATAATTTATTGACACACTTCTTGAAATTAATGTACATTAAAATGCTTCAGTTTTCAAAAACAAAAAGTTTAGCGTGACAGAGAGCTTTAAAGCAAGTAGTTGTTTTTGTGTGATTATGCATGAAAGTATGTACAACATGTTTTTATGGGTCATAATAAAGTAGATAATCAATGACATATATACACCCAACACAATTTTCAGGATTGAAGTCAATTTTCACAGTTCTCTTCGCCTCAGGCTACTAAATGGGACAACTGAGATATTTGGGACCAAAATGCCCCCAGAAAATTGGCTCATCTTCCCACAACGAATGAAATCTGTTGTAAACTCTTAACAACTTTGAAAAAAAAATCCACTAGGAATATTAAAGATCACTTGAATCTTGTCCTATTGTAATACTTCTATTTCCTTCTTTTTGTAATTTCAGATATTTACATGGTATGGGGCCACCATTGAAATGCAAGACAACACTGACTGAAATTGATTACGTAGGAGATGAGGTAGGATGTTATATCATCTCACCATTGGGCACAACACTCCAACGTAACAATCTTTTACTCACTCATTAATATGTCCTACTTTATGGTTTATAAGTTTTTGTTTGAAAATTTCTTACTTTTGTTTTGTAGTGTTAATGCAGATCTTTATAGGGTATTAGTAAAGGAGCTAGCACAGATATTGGAAAGGCTCGACATATAGGTGTATAATCACATAA